TTTATATGTATTTACTTATATATATTTATTTTAACTAAAGAGTATCCTTTACTAGCCTTCTGACCTTTGGAACACTGTTTACGCTCTTGGAGCCTCAGTCTTCCGCATCTAGAAATAGAACGCATCCCTGTGCAGCACTGTTGTTAGAATGACAAGTCATGCCTCCTTCACTTAATGTTACCACCTAACCCGTTTCCTTGAATCCCGTGATTTCTGCGTTTTCCGTACATTCTAAAAAGGAATCACGAACCACTGACTGAAATTCAAGGGTAATGTGAATGAAGGAGCGGAGTTGATATATGCAATATGGCAGGTCCCATGTTTGTTAAATCGGTGTGTTTGTCCTTACTAAGAGGGGCTTACTCTATTTGGTGTCAATATATTTGCCATTTGGGCCTAACACAGACACTAAGTGGTCAAACATAAATTTTCAAATGATGATATAAATCTAGATTTTTTGGTGAGTATGGAATATACATGCTCTTAAAAGTTGGCAATGAATTCAATTATTTTAAAAACAGCAAAAGCTTAATGTAACATGTCTGTAAACACTAGTGGACCATTATTTATTTTGTAGGATCTCTGTTATAAGGTAGTACAAAGAAAAACTAAGAAAAATTTTTCCTAATATTCACAGATAAATGTTTACTTTAACTCACTTATGTCAGATGATCATGCTTCTCATTCATGTAGCCATCCCCATTACTTCTTGATAAATATTGACATTTTTTTATGCCTCATGAGCCATTGCATAGGAATCGAGCCGTGTTCTTTGCCTCCAGCCCTCAAAAATGAATGAGGAGGGAGTAACATACACGGAGCTGAACTTGCCCTATTCAAGGCAACAGAAAGACAAAAGACGTCCAATGGGTAAAAGAAAAGGTAAAATTGTTTCAGCTTGTTTTCTTGTTTTCTGAAAACATTACGATGTCAAGTCAGAAAAAGTGAAATCATGATAATTGTGTCCATGCATATTTGATACTCGATATCTGCTTCTCCATAGGTCCATAGGTATATTTAAGTGTAATGAGCAATGAGATCTGTGATCACCGTAAACAGTGATACTCATTTTAAGTTCCAGAATGAGATTACATTTTGTTCTAATCACTAGGGCCTTGTTGTGCTCAACGCTTACTGTATATTTTGCTTTCTGATTTTGGACAGGATTTCCATGGCATATCGTTGCATTAACCCTGGGAATTCTATGTTTTTTCCTCCTGCTGGCAATCACAGTCTTAGGATATATGTGTGAGTATCAGGCACACCTGTCTCATAAGAAAATGAGTCAGAGTGACAAATGAGATGCTACAACTACTGAAACTGTAGGGAAACTTTGTAGAGTCCTATAGAAATGTTAGTAGTCATGATGGTGTTGATGATAATATCGGGATGCCATTTTGTTATTTTGCTGTCACTTAGGTGTTAGACCACACCAGAAAATGTGTGTCATGGTTGTAATGGCACCAAAGTTTGTACATTGACGCCTACATATATTATATATATATTTTACCCTTATATTTTGTGTAGGAGGAGGTTTCCATACTAGCAGAGAATTGGAAAAATCTTTATTAGAATTTTACATTCCTTATCATACTGCAACACTGCTTCAAATATAGAGGAATAAAAGCTGATTTATTTTCTATATTAGTTTTTATATATTTCATGTCAATTTTTTTAAACAAATTTATATAAAATATTTGTTTTTAAGATCAGTTTCCTGATGTTTATTTTTCTTTGTTTCATTTCAAGAGCCACAATTTTGTGTATCTTCTCTGGGTCGGGAACTTGGTATGGTCGAAGATACATGAATTTTAAGAAGTCAGCTCTCTATAAGCTCAGTTTATTTTTATAGAATTTTTTAATAGTTTATTTATTTTTGAGACAGAGAGAGACAGAGCAAGAGTTGGGGAGGGGCAGAGAGAGAGAGGGAGACACAGAATCCGAAACAGGCTCCAGGCTCTGAGCTGTTGGCACAGAGCCCAACGCGGGGCTTGAACCCACAAACCGTGAGGTCATGACCTGAGCTGAAGTCAGACACTTAACCAAATGAGCCACCCAGGCGCCCCTATAAGCCCAGTTTAAATGGGAAGCTACTGTTATATGAAGCAGCTTTTAAAATGAAATATTGTTAGTGCTGGGCTAATGATGGGAAGATATCAGCTGGATGGCATATTCTATGCTGAGGTCAAGAAAGCTTTCCTCTAGGAGATAATCATTGATATGCTGTAAATGAGAGGTGGGGTTTAATAAGGAAGCTCAGAGTAGAGAAGGCTCATTGAGGCATAAAACAACATGAAGCACAGAATATATAGATGTGCTAGGGAATTACAGCTTTGGGGCAAATAAAAGAAGTAGCTAGAAATGGGTTTGGCTAACTATGCAGTTTATGATAATGTTAACATCACGTTAAGATATGTTAGATTTGTTCTCAAAACAAAAGAAACTATCAGAAGATTTTACGTGAGGGAAAATCATGACTCCTGTCCTATGAGCAGATAGGGATTTGGGAATAGACTGGAAAGAGTGTGGGGGGACAGGAGAGGAGAATGTTTCAGGATTAAGGGTTAATTAGAATGACTGAATTAACGTCATGAAAGAAGTCATGAAGGGTTAGGGACCATACATGAGAAACATTTAATATGCAGAATTGCTAAGATATACATTGTACTGAGTGTGTGAGGGAGACAAGTGAATCAGTGATATCATTTGACATGAGATTTATACACGTTGGCAAATATATTCCATTAAATGTTATAGAAAAACACAAAAACAGTGGGCTATAATTTTTTTTTTTTACAAATAGTTTATTGTCAAATTAGTTTCCACATAACACCCAGTGCTCATCCCCACAAGTGTCCTCCTCCATGCACATCCTTCCTCCCCCCCACATCCATCAGTCCTCAGTTTTTGTCAGCATTCAAGAGTCTCTCATGGTTTGCCTCTCTCCCTTTCCCCCACCATTTCCGCCCTTCTTCTCCCCCTTGGTCCTCCGTCAAGTTCCTCCTAATCCTCCTATACGTGCAAACATATGGTGTCTGTCCTTCTCTGCCTGACTTATTTCGCTCAGCATAACACCCTCCAGGTCCATCCATGTTGCTACACATGGCCAGATTTCATTGTTTCTCATTGCCATGTAGTATTCCATGGTATAGATAAACCACATCTTCTTGATCCATTCATCTGTGGATGGACACTTAGGCTCTTTCCATGTTTTAGCTATTGTGGAGAGTGCTGCTATGAACATTGGGTTCATGTGCCCCTATGCATCAGCATTTCTGTATCCCTTGGGTAAATTCCTAGCAGTGCTATTGTTGGGTCATAGGGGAGTTCTACTGTTAGTTTCCTGAGGAACCTCCACACTGTTTTCCAGAGGGGCTGTACCAGTTTACATTCCAGTGGGCTATGATTTGGTGTGTGTGTGCGTGTGTGCGCACGCGCGTGCGTGAGCGCGCGTGCATGCGTGCTAATAATGGCGAAGAGTGAGGTGCTTGTGACATATCAGTGGAGACCACCAGAAAGAATTAGATTGATCTGTGTCTGTTAGAATGAGTTTCGGGAGCAGACACAGACCACCAGCGCATACACAGTAGAATTAAATGTCTGGAGATCAAGAGGGATGCCTAGATTAGAGATATGGATTGTGGATTCATCAATTCATGTAGCAAGTATTTGAAAACATGACACGGAAGGCAGACTCTAGACCATGCTTTACTTTGTGAGGCCAGGGAGAGTAGATTATGCTAGAAGAATAGCATAAGGGTGAGGAGGAGGATTGTCAGGAGAAATCCACACTTAGAAGTAGGTAGACGATGGGTAACCAGTTACAATCAATGATGCCTGATTAAACAAGTAGGACGGAATCCAAAACATTATGGCATCATGGAGAGAAAGCAAAGATAGTCATGAGTTCCAAATATTACAGAGGATCAGGTATTACAAGAGTTAGAAGTATGCTTATTAAATTTGGGAAGAGAGAGGCTAAAATGATATTTTCTAGAGTAGATTCGGTGGGATGGTGTGGATGGTCAAAGACTAACTGTAATGGCTCTGAAGTGGGCTCTGAGCTGACAGCAGTGAACCCAACACGGGGCTCAGACTCACTGACTGTGAGATCATGACTTGAGCCCAGGTCGGATGGTTAACCAACCAAGCCATCCAGGTGCCCGTTAGTGTGTCTTTACAATTTAGGTTCAGTATATGAACATTGGAATGGATGGCTGACTTGAAGCAATGGTTATATTTATTGCAATGGAGTACATTAAGGGACTGTGCAATTCATGTTGGATTTTTATAGGTAGATTGCATTTGGTTAAATGATGGTGGGTGGGAGCAGAGTTGGGAATGAAGATTCCCAGCTGTCTAACAAATCCTTAAGGGATCCTTCTTTAAATGTTTGTACAGTTAAGGAGCCATATACTGCATGATTTTACATTGTTTTATTTGTGAGTTTGGGGAAGATACTGCTATTTTTCTCAGAGATTTTTAACTTTCCTTTTGCATATTAGGAGTAGCCATCTGTGCTCTTACTCCATGTATATTCGGTGAATTAATTATAAGTTTGTAATAGAGGAGAGACTTTCCCTGGGTTTTAGGTTCCCATGCAAACACTAAATGCTAAGTAAAATACTACTCAATTTCACCAACTTTGAAATTGTTATATGAAGAGTAGATGAATAGAAACTAAAAATATATTTGATTTCCTTTTTATATTTCTGTTTTGTAAAAGTTGATTGCTGTTTCACATACTTACAAAATAGTATATAGCAAGTTCATATTTTTTTTACAAAAAATCTGTTTTATGTTCTGACACTTCAAAATATTTTACGCTAACATTCTCTCTGATTGTACTTTCATTTAGCCAGCAACATTCACGATGCTGTTTAGAATTAGAATTAGTGATTATAAGAAAGTGATCTATTGCAAGCATTCAAGACCTTAATTTTATAACATGAATTGAAGTTTTTCACAGGTGTTATGGAGACACAAGGCAAGATATGAAAGAAACAGAAATAAATGTTTCCTTATCAGAAGTTGAAGATCACTCAATTTTACCACCCACGATAGGTATGTGCTGAATTGTACTGATAGTTTACAGATTTTTTTCCCATGGTATTATCCCATTCTGTCCCATTTTAATATATAATATTAAAACTTTATATTGTATTTTGTCAGGTCCTTTAATTTTGCTCACATTTTAGAATCGAATTCATTTTCTTTATTATAGCTAATTGAGCTCTTGACTTTCACAAAGTCATGTTGGTGTGATTGAATACTTTATGCTTGTGGATGAATTTTCCCCAATATACATCCCTTGGAATTTTCCATCCTCTTATATTCACTTTGGTGCATTTCTCTCAAATAGAGAACTGCTTCATATGAAGCAATATGTCTGTACTTGGGAAGTCAGGATTTCTCAGTGTAATCCTAGCAATGATCTGAGTTCTCTCAGTTAGTCTCTGGCTTCATGATTTGGGCCCAAAGCTATTTCCAGTATGAGACTTTTGGGATACAGGAAAACCACCTATTTTCTGGTCATTCAGTCTGACATAAGCAAGATATATATAGAAAGCATAGGTCTCTAAGTGGCCTTGTGGTTGAGGACCATGCAGCTTTTGTTTTCAAGATAAAGACCATGATGCATTACATTTTTAAAAAATTTATTTAAATCCAAGCTAGTTAACATATAGTGTAGTAATTCTTTCAGGAATAGAATTTAGTAATTCATCACTTACATGAAAAACCCAGTGCTCATCCCAAAAAGTGCCCTCCTTAATGCCCGTCACCCATTTAGCCCATCCCCTCACCCAAGACTCCTCCAGCAACCCTCAGTTTGTTCTAAGAGTCTTTGATGGTTTACCTCCCTTTATGTTTTCATCTTATTTTTCCCTCCCTTCCCCTATGTTTACCTATTTTGTTTCTTAAATTCCACATATGAGTGAAATCTCTTGATATTTATCCTTCTCTGTCTGACTTATTTTGCTTAGCATGATATATTCTACTTCAACCCACATTGTTGCAAATGCAAGGTTTCATTCCTTTTGATGGCTGAGGAATATTCCATTGTATGTACACACACACAAACACACATATATACATATATATACACACATACATATATATACATATATATATGTATATATATACATACACACACATATATATATACCACAATCTTTATCCATTCATCAGTGATGGACATTTGGGCTCATTTAATAATTTAGCTATTATTGATACTGATGCTATAAACTTTGGGGTGCATGTGACCCTTCAAATTAGCATTTTTGTGTCCTTTGGATAAATGCTCAGTAGTGCAATTGTTGTTTCATAGGGTAGTTCTATTTTTAAGTTTTTGAGAAACATCCATACTGTTTTCCAGAGTGATTGCACCAGCTTCTTTTCCCACCAACAGTGCAAAAGTGTTCCCTTTCTTCCATATCCTTGCCAACATCTGCTGTGGCCCAAATTATTCACTTTAGCTGTTCTGACAGGTATCAGGTGGAGTCTCATTGTGGTTTTGATTTCTATTTCCCTGATCATGAGTGATGTTGAGCATCTTTTCATGTGTCTGTTAAGCATCTGTACTTCTTTTTGGAAAAGTGTCTGTTCATGTCTTTTGTCCATTTCTTCACTGGATGATTTGTCTTTTGGGTATTGAGTTTGAGAAGTTCTTTATAGATTTTGGATACTAACCCTTTATCTGATATGTCATTTGCCAATGTCTTCTCCCATTCCATCAGTTGCCTTTTAGTTTTGTTGATTGTTTCCTTTGCTGTGCAGAAGCTTTTTATCTTGATGAGGTCCCAATCGTTCATTATTGTTTTTGTTTCCTTTGCCCCTGGAGACATGCCTAGTAAGAAGTTCCTGTGGGTGAGGTCATAGAGGTTGCTGCCTAGTTTTTCTCCTCTAGGATTTTGATGGTTTCCTGTCTTAATTCAGTTCTTTCCTCCATTTTGAGTTGTTTCTCTGTATGGTGTAAAAACATGGTCCAGGTTCATGCTTCTTCATGTCGCTGTCCAGTTTTCCTAACACTAACGAGACTGTCTTCTCTCCAGTGGATATTCTGTCCTGCTTTGTCAAAGATTAGCTGGCCATATATTTGTGGGTCCATTTCTGGGTTCTTCACTCTGTTCCATTGATATTATGTGTCTGTTTTTGTGGCAGTACCATACTATTTAGATGAAAATAGCTTGATCTAGGATTGTACTGCAGCTTGATCTAGGATTGTGATGTCTCCAGCTTTGGTTTTCTTTTTAAACATTCCTTTGACTACTCAGGGTCTTTTCTGGTTGCATACGAATTTTGGGTTTGTCCTAGCTCTGTGAAGAATGCTGGTGTTATTTTGATAGGAATTGCATTGAGTATGTAGATTGGTTTGGGTAGTGTCCACATTTTAACAATATTTGTTTTCCAATCCATGAGCATGGAATGAAGACGATGACACATTTCAAGGAAAATTGGACTGCTTTGGAAAAAGCTGTTACCATTTTTCAAAAGAAGAGAAAACTTGGGAGGAGAGTAGGGTATCATGCCAAGATCTGCAGTCTAGTCTCGTGAAGATTGATAATAAAGAGGAGCAGGTATGTCTACTGTACTCAACCTGAGTAAATGGTTTATGAGAAACTCGTACGTCTTGAGTTAGGATGATTGTTAGACTTTCCTCCAGTATACTGTGGCCACTTAATCTTGTGAACTGGGTCAGATTTCTCTGCAGAAGGGACACAGGTATAACAGAGACCTAGAAGAACCATTGATTTAAATCAAGAAAAATACCTTCTCTATGAATGCCATGGAATGATGTTCAGTCTTTTGACTGCATGCGTTGCATCTTCACATTTAGTATACTTCAAATGGTTCAGCTTTTAGCTTCTCAGGGCTAACACAGGGCAAAAGAAAAACTGCTTTAATGGTATGAGCATTAAAGAGATAATTTCTCATGTACTGAGTTCTGTTGTTCCTTCATCAGTATTTGGGAGGGATCACACTTCAAAGGGAAGATGAGCCTCTCACTTTCATAGCCATGGGAAAGATGGTTGAAAAATGAAGAGGTTGAGTATAGCTGGAATGAGTCTTTAAAAATGAGTCTTAAAAAAAACTTAGAGGTATGTGGCTGGCTCAGCTGATATGCCATGTGCTTCTTGATCTTGGGGTTTTGAATTCAATCCCATGTTGGATGTAGAGCTTACATTAAAAAAATCCTATGTTTTATTGTTTATAAAATTCTTATTAAGATAACGGTATCAATATGAATGAATGACTCTTTGTTTAAAAAATTTTTAATGTTCATTTATTTTTGAGAGAAAGAAAGAGAGAGAGAGAGAGAGAGAGTGAGTGGGGCAGGGGCAGAGAGAGAGAGGAGACAGAATCCGAAGCAAGTTCCACACTGTCAGCACAGAGTCCCACGCGGGGCTCTAACCCATGAACGATTGGGCGGAAGTCAGACGCTTAACCGTCTGAGCCATCCAGGTGCCCCTGAATCACTCTTCACTATGAGAAACAAATGAAGTAAACATTAGCATACGGAGTCAAACACATTTTAAAGAATCCAGGACAGCTTGTAAGTGCCTTGATTAATTTAAACCTGAGTTGTTATCAATCAGTTTCAAAAAAAAATTATTTTTATTTGTTCATAAAGAATAAAAATTGTATTTTTAATCCACATTTCCCTTGTAATTTCCAATTCAGCTTTGTTCAGTTTCAGTCCTGCCATTGAAGTTTCTAGACTTCAGAGTTCCAGTGAAACTTCTTATACTTGTTATCCCTGTATTTCCATGAACTATCTAGACCCTTTGAAATTTCTGGAGACTTTTGCCCTTGTTTGGAGCACAATCTGAGTTTCATAGTCTATCACCTCATTTGGTGATAGCCTGGCCATCAGAACCTGAACTGGACTGCTGAAATACTATATGAACCTGCGACAGACTTCTCTGTAGAACAGCATTACACTTACGCTGATGGTTTAGGATTTTCTGTGTTTTGCTGCTGTACAAAGCCCAAGAGTGTAATGAAAGAAGTGGCCTAAATCCACTGATACTGAAAACTGAGATTGCGTTTGATACTCTTATGTATACTCCTAACACCTAGCAAAAATATGTGAGTGAAAGAATCACTAAACATTTAATAACAGTGTATCTTCGGAGACTTAGAAATGATAACCTATATTTACATAATTCCCATTCATTTTTCTTAGGCCTTAAATATACACTATTAAACATTTTCTTATACAATTTAATGACTGTGAAAAATATTGTGGAGTGTGTGGTTGTGTGTGTTTGTGTCTGAGAGAGAATGAGAGAGATTCATTTACATTGCTTATAGCAAAGAACATTAATTTGGTACTTTACATTAAATATGCCACTTGGAATAATGATTACAGGAAATTCACAGTATTTGTAAGTTAAAGATATTTTAGACACTGCATGCATTATGCAGTGCACACAATCTGAAAACAAACTGTATGATATCCACTACATCCAGAAGGAAAATTCTCAAGGATGTTTTATTTGCTTAGGTGTATATAGCAAATTAATGGGATGCGGTGTCTTACCACTTGTAAGTATAGAGTCTTCATTGTCACTGCTGTGTGACATTCCGCAGTGTGGATAACCTTCTCTAGAAGACGGGGCTTTGGGTGGTCTCCACCTTTTGTTGTTATGAATAATCCTTCATTAATCATGCTTACACATGTCTCAGTGCAAAATTGTTCTGTGTGTCCTTACTGGGTCCCAAATCATCTAAGGAGTGAAGAAATTTGGAACAGAGTTCGTAAAAGTTCATTTTAAGTGATAATTTCAACTTATTTTTCAATAGGATCTTAGCAAAAGTTTTAAAGTTATATTGGATATCTACCATCCCACAAACTTGGTGTTGTTAATTTTAATTTCTGCCAGTTCAATAGTAGTAAAATGTATCCTCCTTACTTTGATTTGCATTGTCCTGATCTCTAGTGAATTTAGTACCTTTCCATATTGCATGGCTATATGCCTCATTTATTTGAAATATGTTTTCATTTTTTGTCCATTTTTTCCTTATTGGATAATTTTGTTTTCTTGATGATTTCTAGAAATATGTATTTGTTCTTTACATTATTGCAGATATCTCCAGATTTGAAGTTTTTCTTTTCACATGCTTCAAGGTGCATTATGATGAAGAAAATTCCTAATTTAGTCGAATCATATTTATCTAACTTCTTTATCATACATGGAGTTGGGTTTTTTTTTTTTTTTGGTAAGTCCAACTTATCCTTTTGTTGATGTCTTGCATCCAGTCACAAAGACTTGAGTGATTCCTTCACTGAAGCTTTTTCATTTCTGTGTCTTCCATACCCCATGGAGAAATTAACCTGTCTGCCCCATTTATCATAGAGGTGTTTGAAGATAAAAGTACCCAGTATTTTATGAGTCCTCTGTGGGCAAGGTGTTTTCACTGATGCGATGACTAATACTAATAATTCTAATCATCTCACAGATCTTTCTTCAATCAAAAATACAATACAGTTATTGGATTGGATTAAGTAGGTTTCAAGGGGGCAAGTACCTCTGGAAGTGGCTGGATGGCTCACACCCAAGTACAAACCTGTAAGTTTTCATTTCATGCTCTTCTGCTCCCTTTCCTGCTCAGTAACTACTTGGTAGATTATTGGTCAAGAAGAGGAAAAGATCCTTGGGGACTTAGGGAATACCTTTAATTCCATTTGATCTCGCTTCTTAGATAGGCCACAGAATGCAAATCTGAGACCTCAGTAGACTCAAAGAGCATTCTTTATTCCATCTTCTTTCATGGAAGGCTCTTCCAAACAGTAAAATGACATTTTGCTTTTGTATCTGGTATGTTCTATGTTACTAGCATATCCACAGATGTGGTTGCAAGAAATGGTACAAATATAATGAGGAAAAGGAAAGTATTTAAAGCCAGCCCTCTCTGTAAGTGAAATGATACGTGTTCACTTGGTATCATTCAAGAACAACAACAACAACAACAACAGAACTTTTCCCAAATGAGTCATTTAGTAATCTTGCAACTCTAAGGATATTAGGATCCTTAATATCTTCCATGCTATTATTTAGCACCAGTCCACAATAATTTCTGGTAGCCCTGTCTCGTTAGTAAACCACATAGATTTGTTGGTGGGTGTCTAGGAAACTCATTTAGAAAATGAAGAAAAATGATCTGTTATAACTAAATCTAAGTAACATAGGGGACAGTATGAGACACATGGGCTATTTGACATGTCGTTTATTGATGGTCCACAATGTGCCAGGCACTCTTCCAGCCACTGAAGCTACAGTGGTGTATAAAACATGCTATAGTTTCCCACCCTTACGGATATTACATTCCAGTGCAGGCTTGATGGTGCTGGTGGGGATGAGTGACCACAAACGCAATATGCCAAGTAAATTATATGGCACATTAGAGGACAATATATGCTATGGAGTGATGTGGAATCTCTTACTTTTGGCTACATTACAAAGTATCTTTTGTGTATGGAGGTAAGAGGAAGAGATTTCCCTGCTTTAAACGGGGGTGGTCAGGATAGACTCCTTGAGAAATGAAGTCTGTACAGTATCTGGAATGAACAACACATGTGGATTAGCTGATGGGAATGCACCCTGGCAGTAAAAACAGCTGCTGTAAGACCCAGAGGTAGGAGTGTACTTAACATGCCTGAGCAAATAACAAGAGGGCATGAGATGTTGGAACAAAGGGGATAAGGTGGGAGTGGCCTAGGTCAGAGAGGTAATGACGGTGAGAGCAGATAGGGCATCAGAAAAATGTAAGAACTTGGATTTGTTCATGAGGCTAATGAGATGCTGTTAGAGGGCTTTAAGCTGCGGGGTGACAAAAGTTGGCTCCTGCTCTGCAGACTCACTCTGGGCGGTCTGTTGAGCTGACTTGGTGTGTGTTCTTTTGTTGAAATTGCGGGGAGTAGAAGTAGGGGAGCAGGGGCTTAGCTAAGAGTCACTGGAGTCATCCAGGTGACCTGCGGTGGCCGATGCAGATTGGTAGGGGTGGTGCTGGTGCAAAGTGGCCAGATTCTACACGTGTTTCAGAGATGAGTGCGAGACAGACAAGACAGGGAGGGTTCCAAGGTTTTTTGGTCCAGGAGTGGTAAGGATGATGTTGCCATTAATGGCAATAAGGCACATATGGAATTCAGTTTTGGATACAAGTTTAATAACTGTGACACATTTAGCTATGTATGCGGGTGTCACATGAGCCTTTGATAGATGATTAGGAAGTTCAAGTGAGAGGTCTGTGCCTCGGATGCATATGTTGTGTGCAGCAGTGCATAGACTCTGTGACAAGTATGAGGCTGGGAGAGATTCTCGGGAACTCTAAAGGCTGAGCCCACGGACACCCTCATGTTTAGGGCAATGTGAAGATAAGGAGAGATGAGCATAACCAGAAAATCATTGAGAAAAGTGCTACAAGAGACAGAAGGAAAACATGAAGGAGCAGGTAGGGTAATGGAGTCCCTTACAAACCAGTTCTAGTGGAAAAACCGCAGAATGTAAAAGGTTGTAGCGATCTCAATTTTATTACTTGAAATTGTTACTTCCTATAATTTCTGAAGCTTTGGGTGAAAATTAAAACTAGAAACCTTTTTTTCTGAACACTGCAGCCTAGCCTCCAAAGTTAAAATCCAGGTACCTTAGTCTCATTGCCCCCTTTCACAAAAGTTTAATGCTTTGTTTGGTGTGGAGGACATTAGGCTCAGTGGGGATAAGGCACACTCTATTTTAAATGCAAAGAAGCACCTTTTATGCTCAAAGTGACGATAGCGGTGGAGATGCATGCACTAGGCACATTGATCTAAATTATAGGCCATTGGAAATACTATTATGTGAAATTGCAGTGTGTCATTTAATAAATATACTATATTTGGTCACTTCCCAGAAGGTCCAGGAGTCTTAGGAGAATGTTTCAAGTGTACATGTCTAACTCTCTATACCTCCCAGTCTACACTACCCTTTGTACTTCTTCCCTAGCTCCAATGGTCCATTGGCAACATTTCCGTTATTTTCAGATACAATTACACTTGATAATCTTACAGCTCTATGTCCGTCACAACATTTGTATGGCCATTGAAATAACTGCACATGTTTTAAATGTGTGATAAAATTTGCCTGAGAAATATCCTTCTAAAATAGATATAATCTTTGATGCAGGAATTTCCTACAGAGTTTATCACATGTGAAATGTGGATCCCTGAAGCCATCAACTATTTATACTGCTGATTGCAGTAGAAACTTCTATTACATTTGTGAAAAGGAGTTCACTGGCCCTGATAATTAAAGAAGTACTGTGATCAAATGTTTAATGTTTTCATTCTTAAACAGCTATAAGGAAAACAACAGAGTATTCACTCAAATTAGTCAACTACGAGTGGCTTTATGAAGAATTATGATCTTTCAAACGTCCCTCAGCAGGGATAAAACAGTAAGTTTTATAAATGGTAATAATATACATCCAAAAGTTAAGCTTCTTTTTT